ATGATGATGATGATGATGATGATGATGATGATGATGATGATGATGATGATGATCCCCATACCTTGGTCGGAATAATCATCCAGTAGAACAATCTCCCCCAGCAGCTCTGAGGGCGTCCTGTCCAGTATACTGTGGAGTGTCCTCAATAGCGTGGTCCAAGCCTCGTTGTGAAAGACAATCAGGATCGACACAGGGGGGAGTCGGGAGTACTCGTTCCTCTGGCATCTGGGAGAGGGGGATATTGTTTAGTACGCATAAAGAGAACACAACGCGCGCACACACACACACACACACACACACACACACACACACACACACACACACACACACACACACACACACATAGCGAAATACACACATAGCGGAACGACATGCTCCTAGTGAACAAATTTTCCGTTTACTAATTGTTTTTCATATATTATTTTCTTTGCACTTATAACGTACATACCGAAACTCGAGATCGTAATTATTGACAATAATATTTCCGCACCCAGCTGATTTTGCTACAATATAGTATGCTTCCAAGACTACACTAATAGGTTAAGAAGGGGAGCTCAAATAAAAGATAGAAAGATAGGAGTGTTTGTATTGTTAATATTCTTTATTTGTATTGCTGCTGTTTTTTGGATTAACCGTGTTCGCTCTAAGCGGATTCTGCTGAATCTCTAAATTCGTATCGATTTTGATTCAGACACAAAGATCAGTGCAACAAACAGAAATTAATTGCATTTTCTTGCTTTTAAAAGGAGACGTAATACTGCTTTGTAATATTTGATTTTTGCTCAGAATTTATACTCGAGATGCATAATAACTGAAGTTTTTTGTTGTTGTTTTTTTTAAAACAATATAAGAAAAGAAATTGTTCTACATATTACTTTTTTCAGGAAAAATAAAAGTAAAGGCATATTATCTGAATAAACAGATTGTTGTAAAACGGAAACTTCCAGGGTATCGAGAATCAAAGAAACAAGACTGGGGAGCACATGGGTATATACGCGGACAAAGGAGGTGACGTTAATAGGGGGGTGCACACTAGCGGAAGCGGATCGGGTCGGGTCGGACCGGGTCGTCGGTTCGGGTCTTTTTCTGGTGGTTTCAGTGCACACTACAACCTAGCCGCGATTGTACCCGATGACCTGGAAGTCAAAGTAAAAAAACATTTAACCTCAATGGCTTCTAGGGCTCCTTTCCGCAATTCCCTGTTGCAGTGCCGCGGCAGCCTGGAATCCCATAAATATGGTTACAATAGTTACATCGATAATTTTCTATTACCAAAGATTGTTCATAACAAGATAGTTCACTCGGCATAAAAACTGTCTGCGGAAGTCCGTGCATTGGTTCAGGTGGCGCCTCATGCAGCCTTTGTTTTGAAGCTCTCTTTCGTTTCAAAGAAGAACAGGACTAGTGAACAGTTTGTTAGTTTCGCTTTTATTGTTTTTCACACGAGTAGGGTAACTCTGCTCGTTAAGTCCGCACTTTTTCGAAGAGGGCGCCATTGGATTTTGAAAGTCAACATGGACACGTGACTCAGCCTAGTTGTGATTGGCTGCAAACCATCCAATCGCGCGACTCGCCGGCCTGAAAACAAACGCGCTTGTTTTTGCAGGTCACCGACCGAGTCGATCGGTTTGTGCCACGATGGCTGCTTTGCGCCCTCAATTTGGCTAGCCCGACTGTCAAATCGACCCGACCCGACCCGACCCGATCGCGCCAGTGGGCACCCCCTATAAAGGAACATAACCCTTGACCTTACTTGATACTTCTGCCATCAGGCAAATGTCTGTGCACGGATATAGCCCTGCTGACCGATTCGTCGAAGAAGTTGACTTCAAAGTCTCTCTCTTTCTGTTCCTCCTCTTCCTCGCTGAGCCCCTTGTTGTTGGCCTTATGGGGTCTGCCGCCATAGCCTGCCAAAGATATACTTTTTAGTTTTAGTTAGAGTTTCACGGCACTTGCAACACAATAAGGTCATATATATATATATATATATATATATATATATATATATATATATATATATATATATATATATATATATAAAATATATATATATATATAAGTGCTGATAAAGATATACCTTGGATTAACTGATGGCAGATAAATAGATGAAAAAATAGTGAATACATATTGTATGTATGTCCTTGTATTAAGTGAGAGATAAATGGATGAAATAGTGAATGTATGTAATGTTTGTATGTATGTCCTTGGATTAACTGATATATAAAAAGATAAAATAGAGAATATAATATATAGGTAAGTTCTTGGGTTTACTGATAGATAAATAGATGAAATAGTGAAGGTATTTGGGTATTTTAAAATTATTATTTTTTTGGTAAGTGTTTTACGGTGCCGGCAAATGCATACGGTCATATGAGTTTGCGGGGTATCTAGGTATGCCCTTGAATTAACTGATAGATAAATGAATGAAATAGGGAATGTATGTAGGTATGTCCTTGGATTATCCGATAGATAAACATATGAAGAAATAGTGAACGTATGT